GCCTCCCAGAGTGCTGGGATTACAGGCGTGAGCCACCGCGCCCGGCCAAAATACATTATTTTTCTATAGTTCAACTTACCTGTATTTTGAGTCTTCATTCCACCTGCTTGTAGAAAACTCTTACTCATTTCCAGGTGAACCCAGTCATCCCACCCCACTCCTTCTCCCGCCTCCACCATCGATCTAAATTTGGGGAGTTTCTTGGCACTAGATGGTGTGGGGAGGGGCTGCTTGGTGGGGGCCCTCTCTCTGAGATGACTGCTCCTGGGCCTCTCACCTACACGGGTCATGTGTGCCCTCATTTCTATTCTGCTGCTACTGCCTAGGGATCCAATAGTAACAGCAATGTGCCAGCTTTCCAAGCCACACCCCATGGCCTCAGCTCCCCAAATTTGTCTAGGACTCTATCCCTTCCACATCACCCCTAAACCAGTGTCTAGCATCTTGTCTGGTCCTGCACTAGGTTCCCCCCAGCTAGTAGGGGGGCCGAGGCGGGGCGGCGGGCAGGCTCTGCCTGTCTGTGCCTACCTCCTTCCAATCCTCCCTGTCTTAATACCCAGACACTAAGGCTTTTGAACTTAAAAGCCTGGAATTTGGCATCTTTGTTCTCTGACTAGAAAGTAGAATGGTCTCAGGACCAAAAAGCAAGAGCCAGCACCCCACAGCGTGATCTGAGATCCCCGTGGAAGCTGCTCTTTTCTTCCATATCACATAGGCTGAGCCACCCCAGACGTTGTGTGCCAGTGCACAAGGACCAGGGATCTGGCTGCTCCTTGGAGGGGGAGGGAGCCAAGAGTATCTTATCTTAGATAGGGCCGAGTCCCCACACCCAGCACACACACTCCCTGTTCACTCACCTCCCCCAGACAGCTGGGAAATGACACCTCTGGTGACAGAGCCATCCCTGGGCTTCTGCTGCGAGGGGGTGGGGCACTGCAATGGAGGAGGATCTCACACCCGCAGGCCCTGAGAAGCCTGGGCGGGGAAGGGAAGATCCTGGCTCCTGTTTGTCTCAGACATCAAGGCCACCAGCCTCCCTCCCCCACTTCTGGGGATGTAGTCAGCACCCCCACCCCAGGCAAATAGGCCTCCCCTAAAATGCCTCCTTCACCCTTGAGATTTGCTTTGACCCTCCCCACCAGGTAGCTCGCCTGGTCGTCTTCTCTGACAAACTGGGTGGCAGTGTGTACAGCTGCTGGGGCTGTTTAGAGGACCTAAATGGAGACTAGTCAGGAATGGACCAGGCTGAGGATAATCTGCTACAACGTTATCCAGATCAAGCCATTTAACAAATACATATTTAGTGCCTGCATATGTAATGTATTTCGGGTCCAGAGAGAGGAGGGGAACTGTCCAAGGTCACATCTGTGAGCCTAATCCGCAGGTAAAGTAGCACCACATAACCTGAGCCATCCTTGCCTACTGTCCTCTTCCCCTCTAAATAGAAAAAGCAAAAAATACCTGTCTTTTTGGCCTGCGCCTGGACCAAAGGCTGTCCTATGGCCAGGGCAGCTGACCCAAGTCTGGAGCAAAGCTAGGTTTTGGCCAGCCGGCAGCCACCAAGTGAAGCGGCCTCACGGGGCAGCCTCATGCTTTCCGCCCTGGGGTCCTTAGTTCGCCCGACCTCAGCCTGGCCTGCTCCGGCTTTGCCTGCCAAATGCCCCCGGTCTGAACTTCAGTTGGGAAGAGGAGCAGCTTTCACACCTTGCAGCCCCTCCTGGGACTTGGTTAAGGGGGAAGGGGCTGCCTCATCTCCTTTTCTTCATACCCTCCTACTCAGCGGCCAGGGGCCCCAGACCTTTGAGAATTCCACTTGCAGAGTGATTGATGGGGTGGGACCAACTCCCACTGCTCCACTCCGTCCCAGCAGCAGGGTCTGAGCTATCCGCATAGCCCCCTGTATCCGCACTGGCACCTTCTGGTTTCCCACCCCCTGTGCACTCTCAGTGCTGAAGGAGGGTCACCAGGTGTTGCGACCTGGGCGCAGGGCCAGACCTTGGGCTGTGTAGGGTGCGGATAGGTTTATCGAGTTCACGGCTGAGGGAGGATGTGGTCTGTGGATGAGGTGTGGGGCCTGGCTGCGGTGTGCTAGAAGGGGGAGGTGGCAGAGGGTTTGGGGGCGCTGGGAAGGGCCGTGGTCAGATAGGGCAGGGTGGCGATGGGCTGGGGAAGCCGCAGCAGTCAGCCTTGGGGTCGCCAAGTGCCGTGGGAGGTGTCGGGGCACCACGGCGAGAAGCCAGCGGCCCCGCCCGCTACGACCCCCGCTCGGCGCGCCCCGCCCCCGCGGCCCCGCTGCCGACGAGCCGCCTGCCGCGCCCCGCCCCCGCCCGCAGTGCCCGGATGCGGGTGACGTGCGGCCGCCATCTTCCCGTCCCGGGCAGCCAGCGCCAGTCGGAGCCAGCGCGAGCCGCCGCCGCTGCAGCCGCCATCACTGCTGCTGCCAAGTCCTCCGCCCGCTGCCCCCGCCATGTGAGTCGGCCGATTGCTGCCCGCACGCGCTTCCCCGCGCCGGCCGCCGCCCTTGGGAACCGGCCGTGGAATGTGCCCGGGGTCCCGCCCGCAACCCCCGCGTCTCCCGAGCCCCGGGGCCAGGCTAGCGCCCATGACTGCGCGCAGGCGGCCGAGTAGCCCTGCGTCCCGGGCTGGCCGGCGCGGGCGATGGCCGCGGGAGGGAGAGGATCCTGTGTCTGCCCGCCCCGCCCCTGTTACCGCAGCCGCCTATCATTTCTGGTCGACCCCGGATCGCGTCTGTTTGGTCGCCCTCATTTGACAGGCGGGGAAACTGAGTCCCGGATGGGGGAGGGGGCCTTGCTCAAGGTCACGCAGCTCATCGACTGCGGGGCCGAACAGAGACCAGGGCTTTCATCGGTAGCCTTCCTCCCGAAAAGGAGGACTGGAGGGATGATGGATGGACAGGTGGATGGGCGGAGCCCTGGCTGCAGGGCCAGAGGCTCCAGGTCCTGGGTCTTAATCTGTCCCTGCTCCTCAGGTCTGCTACCGCTGCCACAGCCCCCCCTGCCGCCCCGGCTGGGGAGGGTGGCCCCCCTGCGCCCCCTCCAAACCTCACCAGTAACAGGAGACTGCAGCAGACCCAGGCCCAGGTGGATGAGGTGAGTGTGGGGGGAGTCAAAGGCAGTGGGAAGGACCCTGGGGGTTGGCAAACAGGTTTGAGGGCCCATCTTGGGTTGGGGGTGATGACAGTTCACGTTTGTGTGTTTTGGGACAAAGACATACCATGCCCCATCCCTTTCTCCCTCTCAGCACGCATTTGGAAGGGCACTGGGGTGTTAATCAGCCTTGCTAGCCTGGCATGTGCCAGCCCTGCAGGTGTGCTCTGGTGATGGACAGCCTGCCTCAGACTCCATAGATAGGGGGTGTTGCTATGACATCTGAGATGTCTGGCTATCAGCATGCCGCTGATGTGTGCTTCTTGCATGTCCCCAGGTGTGTTAGGCATGTTCTGTGTGTGTCCTTGGCATGTTAGCCTGGCAGCATCGGGGTGCATGTTCCATGTGTGGCACAATGGGCACATGTTCGAGGAGTGCCCTCATTGGGGCGGGCCTTGGCACACCTGCCTCGTGGGCCCCTCCCCCAGGTGGTGGACATTATGAGGGTGAACGTGGACAAGGTCCTGGAGCGGGACCAGAAGCTGTCAGAGCTGGACGACCGTGCAGATGCACTCCAGGCAGGGGCCTCCCAGTTTGAAACAAGTGCAGCCAAGCTCAAGCGCAAATACTGGTGGAAAAACCTCAAGGTAAGGGTGATGGCAGGTGGGAGGACAGGAGGACAGCTGGGTGAATGGGGGTATCATGGTTTGTCTCACTGACCCTCCCCTCTCACCCCCAGATGATGATCATCTTGGGAGTGATTTGCGCCATCATCCTCATCATCATCATCGGTGAGTGGGGCAGGAGAGGGCCCATTCTCTGAAGAGGTTTCCCCAGTGGTTCTGGGTATTGAAGGTCATTAACCTAGTTTTTACTCTTCAGCAAAAAGCACATATAGCTGCTAATGGCGATTCTAATTCATCTAGAGCCAAAAACCTTGGCTGTAGATTATGATGTTTAGCCTGCAGTTTGCCTTGTTCTGGGCAATTTCTGTTAAGATTTTGGAAACAGGAAAGCTGATATATCCATTGAGGACCCTTTGGGCCTAAGAGCCCAGTCTAGGAACCCTGGAATTAGGGAGTGGGAGAAAGGCCCAGGGGCTCAGGACACGACCAGGAAGAAGCCAAGCACCCCATTGAGATCTTGTGGTCTCAGAGGCCCAGAGGATTAGGGTCTGTAGCCCCAAGGCCATACCATAGAGTTAAAGGGACCTCAGAACCCACCTGTCCAGCTCCCTTGCTTTACAGATGGAGAAACTGAGGCCAAAAGAGGGGAAGGGACATCAGCCAGCTGGGGAGTGGGGAGGATTGGAGGAGGTCCAGGCCTGACACAACTGCTTTCTTTCTCTTTCTCTTTCTCTCTCCCTAATCCCTGTTCCTGGTCCTCTTTCCCTCTCTCCACAGTTTACTTCAGCACTTAAACCCCTGAGGAGTCTGCCCTGCCTAGAGAAGGGCCTCTCCCCCAACCCCCAGCCGTTCCTCCACCTCTCAGCCATATCTTTCAGCCCCCCTCCCCTGGATCCGTGTGTGTGTGTCCGTGTGTGTGCCCCCCCCTGTAAATAGCCAGCTGTTATTTATACATATATAATATTATATATATTTGGTCTGTTTGTAGTTTTATTACTAGAAGATTTTTCTGGTTGTCCTTAACACCCCTTCCTGAGGTTCCCATCACTTCTTTTCTCTTTCCCACCTTCCCTTTCCCTCTCTTCCTGACTAATCCCAAGTCCCTTCATTTGCATCTGCTATGCAATAGTCCCTCTCCTCTCCTTCTTCTTCCCTTGGATTTAGCTGATCCTTCCTCCCACCCTGGCCTTCCTGTCACCCTCATGCACACCCCCCCAAAAAAAACAAAAAGCACCTGTCCAGGGCTCCCTAGGTGCATCTTATTTGCATCCATTGGGAGGCTCTAAAACTGGCCCCACTTGGTCCTAAGAATCCCAAAGGTCTTCTGGGAGCTTCCAGCATGTTAGTTAGCATATCATTTGCATACTGACATCCCTTTTGGTTTCCTTCTTTTTGTTCATCACTCTTCTCTCAACCTGTGTTTCTTTTTTACTAAGGAATTAGTCCCCATTGGTCCTTGTATCACACTTTCATTTGCACGATATTACTTGCAGGGGGTGGGGAGTCTGGGCTTTTGGGGAACCAGGCTGTTCTGGCCCCCAGAATTGCCCCTCCTAGCCCATCTAGTCCAGTTTGCCTCCCCTGCCCCCATTTTCCAAACCTCTTGTACTCTTCTCTCCCTCCCCCCAGCTGGTGTGTAAGTGTCTTGGAGTTCAGTGTATTATGATGGACCAATAATTCTGCCACTTGGGGTCTCTCCCCACATTCTTGCTCCCCAGTTTTCATGTGGGGCACTCAGCTGACATTCCCATGGAGTCTCCCTCCCTCCCTTATGCCCGATCCACCACCTCCTCCCACCAGGAGAGTTGGGGGTTGGCCACAATCCGATCTCTTTTGGGAGGGGTGGCTACCAGTGTGTGGGGGCTCATCACTGCCTTGGGGAGGAGTGGGGCAGGGCAGAGAATCCCTCAATTCCTGCCTGAAATCTCTGGTCTCACCCTTACTGGGGTTGTACTGAAAACCCGCCTCCCCAGTTTGGGGAGTGTTGCCCCCATCACTGCCCAGCTCCTCTGACTGCCCCCTGGATTTAAGGTGGGGGTACTAGTCACTGCCAATGTGTGTATGGGACTTGCTGAAAAATGGGAATCCTCGCCCTGTCCAGGGCCATGGAGCCCGGAGAGATCTGTCCTCTCATTGGGTGAAGTGCTATAGGAAGGGTCTAATGTCTTTTTAAATGGCACAAATTTTCAGGGTCTGAGGGTGCAGTCCCTTCACCTGTCACTGGAGGGGGCCCCCAAACTCTTCCCCCCCACACACTCTAGGTTTTCTGTGCGGAGGGGGAACAGGGATAGCTAAGCTGTGGTGTGAAAGGGTAGGAGAGATGCTGGGGGTTGGGGGTGCTGTGTTCTAGATCCCCCATATTATCCCAGTGTCCCCTGCCCCCCTCTTCCCCCACCCCATACCCCCAATTCTGTGGCGCATCCAGATTGTGAAAATGTACAATAAATGTGTAATGAGTAAATGTAAATGTGCAATGGTGTCTGTTTTAAGATTTTTTGTTAACCAATGGGAAGAGTATTGGATCTGCAGTTATAACAGTAAGGTTGAGAAAATATTTGGGAAGGGACTGGGCTTTGCAAGAGGCCCTGACCTTGGGCCCTGCAAAGTGTGATTTCCAAAGTGGCCACCGGGGGCACCAGGAGTTGGTAATAGGAAGTGACATGACCAGCCTTTAAGCTTGTCTTTAAGCCTGACGAACACTGCGGTCTGGGGTTCCCAGCTTCCCTTCCATTCCCTTGCCTGGGCATGCTCCTGTTGGACTCCTTTCTACCCCTCGATGTAACTCCTGAGATGCTCAGCAGTCACTCCCATGGCCATTCACTTCTAGGCCTGAAGTAAATAGCCACTTTGTGAATCGTCTCTTCCCCTTTGTGCCTAGCACAGTGCCAAAATCCAGAAGGGGTTAATAAATACTTGTTGAAACAATTGGCTGAGGGAGACCCAGCTGAGTATGGCATGGAGCTGGCTGTAGATGGCCTACTACCCCTGCACTGTGTTGTATGACTTGTGACTTTAGACCCCACACTGAACTCTCTCAGCCTCCAGGTCCAGGATGGCCCTGACGTGGTACCCTAGCATCCCTGTCCCCAGGAGCGTCAGTAATGAGTGCAGGGTCCTAGGTGAGCTCTGGAGGGCCAGCTTCTCTGGGCTGCAGCAAGAAGATCCAACAGTATAGGAAACCTACATAGATAGTATTTCCTAAACTTGTTGGCTGCTGAGAACTACTAGGGGTATTTTGAAAAATAGATTTTCAGGCCCCTTCTCTGGAGATTCTGATTCAGCAGTTCCTAGGGGCCCATATAATTAGGTATACAGTCATTACTATAACATCCAACTTGATCGAGGGCTTACTGTATGCCAGGCAGTGCTCAGGGTTTTGCACTTCATCTCCTGAATCCCTTCCAGGTTTAGGGTTCCCATAGGCCCTAGGACCCGCCTTATGTATGGTGTCAGGGATCTGGGTTCAAATTTTAGCCCCATTACTAACTAGTGTGTTAATTCGGACATATTATGTAACCTGTCTGGGTCTCAGTCTCATTTGTAAGGCGTTGGGTAGTAAGTGAGCCAGCCTCCTCAGAGTTTGTGAGAAGCGCCTGGACTGGGCCACAGAAAATCAGGAAGGGGCTGTCATCATCATCGTCATGATGGCAGTGCTGAAATCTGAAGGCCGCTTTATCCTAGCGGTCGCACCTTCCAGCTTCGAGGGGCAGGGGGTCCTCTGGGATACAGGGCTGGAGCCCCAGCGCGTCACGTCCGGCGGTCTGCACAAAGTGCCCCCACCTACGCCACCGCCGCTCACAGCTGCGCCTGCGTGCAGGTCATGCTTGTGCGCCTGCGCAGACTTTGCCGTTGTGGGCGAGAGTGTCGTCAAGGAAAATCCCCAGCTTCTGGGTAAACAAGTCGCCGCGTGAGACCGCCGGCACGTGTCCCCTACATCCCTAAGACCTCTCAGCCTATGAGAAAGTTTGGAGGGCAGGTCTGGCATTTGCGTCACCGATCTAGGCAGATCCGGGATTATTTACACAGCCAATAAAAACTTTGGAAGTGAGTGGGGGCGTGGCTTCCGGTCAGACTCCCAATCAATGCGCTGGGGCGGCCATTCCCGCACGTGTCCCTATCACTGCCTGTTGGTATGCTAACCAATGACAAGATGACGGCGGCCAGAGGTGCCAATGGAGGCTGTGCGGGGGCAGAGCTGCCGCACGCGGCGCGGGGCATGGGTCGGCGCCCCTAAGCCAATAGGCTTGGGGGGCGTGGCAGCCCTCCCCCCGGTGGGCGGGACTGGAGGAGCCTGTGGAGTCGCTGCGGTCCCAGGCAGAAGGAAATTTGGACTCTGGTGCGCGCTGAGCAGTGAGTTCCCAGGGGTGGGGAGGGCTTAGGGCGGTCGATATAGATTTTTTTCGTGTGGTGGGTTCGGTCAGGAGGGGTGTTAATGGAGTGGGGAGGTGATGCAAATACGTGATCGCCGTCGCGGGAGCTCTGATGGTTGTGGAGAATAGGGACTTCGAACTCAGATCTAGAAAGACAGGGGTGGGAGTTACTGACATCGAATCCCTCACTGCTCTAGAGTGCCTGGACCCCTGACTGCCCTGGGGGAGGGGCTCGGAAGTCCGCAGGGACCTCAGGGAGCTGAAGTCCCTGCTCCCAGGGAGGTACAGTGACAGGACCCCTGAGAGCTGGTGGGGGATATTCCGACGTATGGCTGCTGTTTAGGTAGGTACGTTAAGCGCTTGAAAGAGGCATAGGTTCTAAGGCCCTAGTAGGACCCGGGGGAGGATACCAAAAGGTTGGCACGGTCATTTGAAAAAGGGTGGTGTGATGATTTGTCAGACTTGGAGCCAGTCACGGCTCTGGGTGTCTTTCTTATGTGTAAAGGGTAGGGTTTGGGTTCAAAGCCATCCTTGAGGTGGGGTAGCAATTGTTCGGTTCTGAGAGGGAGGATATGGTTGGGGTTTGTGCAGATTGGCTGTGCACGTGTCTTCCTGAGCCCCTGGAGGTGGGGAGGCACCAACAGGGTGCTCTGGTATTTGTCTGTACAAACAACCAGGCCTGAGGTAAAGTGGCCTGAAGTAAGGTGGAAGAGTGAGGAAGTGGGGCTCCTAGGAAATCCCTGGGGCTGGTGGCTGCTAGGGTGATCTCAAGGCCTTGTGAACAAGGAAAAACGGGCCAGGATGATGATAAGTGTGTGGGGAGTGCAAACAGAATGTCTCGAGATCGGGCCTAAGGGGGAGTAGGAGTTGGATGGAGATTGTGTTCCAAGCACCAAACTTAGAGTCAGCTGGATATTTGAGAGGCCTAGGTGTGTCCTGCTGGGATGCAGCTTAGAGGTTGGGTAACACTTCGCAAATTCCTGAAGGATAAGAAGCCAGAATGACAAGCCATTATTAGAGCTCAGATTTGAACCCTGGGCTCCATTTGTTACGAGGCAGACAATTTAGGCAAGTTTAGTAACTTCTGAGTGTTAGTCCCCCACAATATGGGGATAATAATAACTGTCTCACAGATTTGTTCTGAGGATTAAATAAAATAATGTATGTTAAGTGCTTGTATAATGGCTGGGTCATGATGAGAGATTTATGTGAATGCTGTGGCTGGAAACTATTCTCATATTCTCAAGTTTTTCTGCACGTTTTGATGACTCCCCATTTCGCTCTTACTGGTTTTTCTGGTCTTCAGGCACCAGCCCAAATTCCCTCATTCTTCCCTTTTATTCCTCTCCTCAGGCCCCAGTCTAGGCCACTTGCTCTGTCCCAGTTTGATTTCCTCATCCTAAACCCTTTCTCCTCCTTGCCCCTCCTCCTTCTCTCTCTGCTGCCATAGTAACAAGAGGTTCAGGCTCTGAAGGGGGCCTCTGGGAGGGAGCAAAGGTGCGCGTTCTGTCCCAGAGCTTGGGCCTCCAACTTCCCCCGCTCTAGCTATTTGGCACAGGGCCAGCAGATGTGTACAGTTCGGGAGAGGGGAAAAGCCAGTGCCAGGAGCTGTAGGAACAAGCTGAGGGGCGGGCAGATGTGACTCGTGAAAAGAGCCAATCATGGGGGCGGGGAGAGAGACCCCTTCCTCCTAATCCTCTCTCCAGGAATCCCTGGCTTTGGGACAGGACGGCTGTGGTTGTGTTGGGGGAGGCGCCCAGGCCGGGTGCATGTCCTGGGCCACCAGCCAAGAGAACACGATGTTCCCAAATGCGCTGGCCGCCGCCCTCTCGGGCTGGCCGCCTCCCAAACCGCTGCCTCTCCTGCCTCTCCAGCCTCCCTGCCCCACATTCCCCGGCTGCCTCGCCCCGCCCCCTTCTTCCGCTTTGACGTCACCGCTGTCTCCCGCCCCCTCTTCTCCATTGACGGCAGCAGGGCCTGGTTACTGTGGGGACGATGAGGCAGGGCAACCAGGGCCTTGGGAGCAGGTGGGGGCTGCTGGAGCGCTGGAACCCTTTGTTTATGCAAAAGAGAGATATGGAGGGGGAGGTAGGAGAGCAAGGACTGCCAGGCTCAGGGGAGATCACACCTAAATCCCTGAGGAGAGCTGGGGAGGGCAAAAAACCGTCTCCAGGCTGGGGGGCAGTGGCTCACGCCTGTAATACTAGCACGTTGGGAGGCCAAAGTGGGAGGATCGCTTGAGCCCAGGAGTCCCGACACCAGCCTGAGCGAGACCCCATCTCTACAAAAATTAGAAAAATTAGCCAGGTGTGGTGGTGCGCGCCTGTAGTCCCAGTTACTCCGGAGGCTGAGACAGGAGGATCACTTGAGCCCGAGAGTTCGAGGTTGCAGTGAGCTATGATGAAGCCACTGCACTCTAGCCCCGGCAACAGAGTTTAAAAAAAAAAAACACAAAAAAACCCCACCAAAAACATGTTTCCAGAGAAGAGATGTCTGAAAAGGAGACAAGGACAGGGCCACAGTATATGAGTTGGGGGCGGAGGGAGGGGAGACTGAGACTATGCTCCCAAATCCTTTGTTTTCTGTGTTTTCCCGTTTCTGTTTTTCTGAGTTAATTTATAACACTCTCGTGTCCCAGCTTTTCCACAGAGCCCCGCCCTTCGCTCCCCCCATTGTTAAGGAAAGCTTAGGCCACGTGACAGTGAGGGGCGTGCACCCACAGCTGGTTATGTCAGCAGCTACTTGGGGCCTCTTCACTTGCTACCCACGTTTTCCAGGGAGTCCTGAGAGGAACAACTCATCACAGTCCTGAATGGAGGGGCCGTGTAACTGCGGCTCTCCTGGACCCAGACTGGCATTTTATTCCTCCCAATTAAGGCCTTGTTCTCTTTCTTGGATTTCGTGTTCTGCTTTTCCCTTCTTTAAAAGAATTATAATTTCCAGCCCCTTCTCCACTGCTGAAACTCTTTCCCCACCTTCCTTACTTATCCTTGTTAAAATCAAAACCATCATGTTTATTGACCACCTGCCATGTGGTGGGGTGTCCTAGGTGCTGGGGAGTACAGTGAATGAGACAGATGAGATTCTGCTG